ACAGAATATCTGAATCGGAAGGTTCATAATCGGTAGTCAATATGTCTACAACCTGGAGAATATAAGTAAACCAATATACAAAAATTAATGGAACATAAAAGATGATTAAACAAAATTTAACAAGGAAAATACCATAAGATCTTACTCTTTCTAGGAAATAATGAGCAACATTCGGCAGCATTTCCAACTCACTTCGTCTTTTGTAGGTAGCCTGAATGGCAGCATCATTCCACAACTCTTCAACTAATGGTGCATATTCTCGAGTAGCTGCAGGAAAGATAGTCTCCAAAGTTCCTAATACCATAGTCTTTAGAAGCCAATCGGAGAATGCTTTCAATCTTGGCCCGATTGAGTACAGGCATTTGTTAGAATCAACACTCGAGCTCCCTGCTTTTAACCAAAAATTCATTTCCCCAATTTAAATACAAGTCTAGCATTTTATATTATAATATTAATGCTGACAAACCACAAACACCAGCAAAGGCTAACAGTCTATTACATTACCCGGCCACAACAAATACAGGAGCTAAGCAAACACTACAGTGTAAACAACTAACCACTTCACCTCCAGTCCTCAAAACAGTTTAGCATGGTATAAGGTACATAAAAAGATCAAGGCACAAATCATCTGGAGATCTAAATCTAGCATTGTCGAGTAAATCAACTAACTAAAAGCAATAACATCCATATCTACACACACATATAGATAGATAAATAAACAGCTTAGACCTTTTGATGGCTTAAGTTGTAAGAAAATTTCATATCCTTGTCTCCAGGCTCAAGATAAATCTTTTTTCCAATAACCCAATACAGAGCCCCACTCCCACTGATCCGGAGGGCATCCACACTGGCCCCAAGGTTTAGACCCGATACTCTAAACCATCAAATCACTAATTGTGCATTAGACAGATAGTGAATGCTAAATCTAAAAAGCCCAAGTCATAGGATTCAAAATCTCTGTTCAAGGTAGCTAGCAAGCACCTGAATAGCAACTTTGTCTAATGCCTTAAATAGATAATGAGACAAGAATCAATAAGAATTCCTACCTGCAGGGTCAACTTCATCAGACTGTTTTCTCCTTATTTCAGCCAAACTTTCCTCCTCAAATCGCTCACGGCCTTCAAGAATTATACCAAGATATCCGTACACATTGCTCTGGATCTTCAACTTAATAGTTTCACGTTCATCTTTGGAGAAAGGAACATCCTTATATAGAATTTTGGCCTGCAAAAGCATTTAGAAAATGAAATTGCCGACTCAATTTGACTAACAAAGAGTGCAATGTAGACAAAATTAAGATAACTAAACAAATCTACAGAACACACACAGTTATCTCAGAGATAAAATAAATAGAACATCCTCTCTCATAATATGACCAACCAACGAAACGTTGCTAAGAAAATCTAGAGATATTGGCACGTATCTCCTTGAAATTGATTTACCAACATTTCTTCAGAAATAGTTTTAAGGGACAAAAAAAAATCTGTCTTCTAGCAATTATATTATTTGTAAAAAAAATCTACAAAATCAACAAGAGAACCACATCATAAAAAAGTAACCACATATGAAAAAAAGACATATGATGAACCAGATACTAAATTAACAAATTAGAAACTACCTGCTTGAATATAGTACTTGTTCCAGATCCATCATAACCAACTAAAAGGAGCTTTTGAAGAGCAAAGTAGTCAGGAAAAGTTTTGTAAACCAGGCTGCTTTCTGGTTCCCCAGAATAAGTTGAAGATTTAGAAGGAACTGGTAGCGATAACAGAGCACAGACTAGCTTCGTTCCAGCCTAAAATGTAATGAAGAAGTTAAAAATGAGTATACGACCAATTAAAGCTAGGAATGTAAGCTAAAATCTAAGTTTACTGTTTATTTCCACAAGACCGTACCTTCCCCCATATGTACCCTTTGGTGTTTTTCTGTCCCTCCTCTTGGTATGATCCATCCTCATTGACCCAAAAGTGTGGATTACCAGCACATTGAACTCCAGCCAACTACATTGATCAAATGTTCCCTTTTAATTTTAGAAGTTACTTACCCTAGAAACAAAGGTTACACTTTCAAATTTTACCTGCAGCATCCGGAGCTCTACTTTTGTGATTTCTCGGCCATTTATAAAAATCTGTGTATTTCCATTGCTAGCATCTGCCTTAATAGGGTCACCAACGTTAAGATGAGGAGTAATTATCTTCGAAGGTTTCTGTCCTTCCTGTTGAATAGATTAGAATGTTCAATTACGTAATGAAGAAATACGATTAAAAGAGAATATAAAAGAAAAGAAAAGGCAACTCAAGGTACCTAGACTCACCTTTCCCCAAAGACCAGAAACTTTATCGTACCAATAATTTCCTGGTTTTAGCTTCTTTGGTGGGTTGGGGCAGGTTTGTAGCACTGTAAGCTCCTCGAAAGATAAAGGTTTCCCATTCACACAAACGTACCCTGGTGGTAGTTGATTCGCCTCACAACACTTCTCAGCCTTCATAACCTGTTGAATCTCCAAATCATTCAACAGTCTCTTAAGCATTCTGGAACATTTTCCCAAATTACCTCGCTTCAACTCATCAATGGGAAAACCTATACAGGTAACACATTTGCGACCTTCAGGCATTGAACCCATAGCTCTAAGCACACAACTACTACAATACTTGGCATCACATACGATGCAGACCTCCTTTTCAGTGAACCGATTACCCTTGCAGCACCGATAACAAGATCCTCTCTTTCCGTTTCTTAGTGGTTCTCTTTTCATTCGCAAAGTTTCTGGCACATCCTGACTATACTCTTCATTACATGTATCATCGGACTCATGGTCAAAAAATGTTCCAGCTGACTGCCTACCATCACCACCACCCTCATTTACAACTGTCATTGATGAAACCCGAGAAGATGGATATTCCGTACTCAATACTGATTCTGTAGAGACCCAATCAACTTGATTGATATCATTGAAATCTAAGCTTTCATTCCTACAATTTGAAGCTCTCAAAGAACATGAGCTTCGCTGTGATTTATTAAAGCTTCCAGAAAACTCCATCGTGCAAGAACTCCCAGCATCACCTAATAACTCAGAAGAATTTCCATGACTAATTGATGAGCAGCCAAATGCCGTCGAGCAGTTGCCCACATCCGACAATTCACCTGAAACAATTTGCCCATTTGAAAACTCCAAGGCACCCGAACTACTCAAATCACCAGACAATTGACATCCATGGTTACTCACTGCTCTCTCCTCAAAGGCAATAACAGAAGTTGGTGAAACTGTTCTTTCAGAACCAGAATCTGATTCTTTCGACAGACACCGGCGACTATCCTCAGTACTCTGATCAAAGGCAATTACAGATGTAGGCGAAACCACAGACTTCCCACCAGCAGCTTCCAACTCTTTAGAAAACTTCTTAGTAAGAACATCCTGCGCTAAAATGGGCTGAACAACCGGCAAAGACATTTTATGAGTAAACGGAACCTCAGCTACCACTGCAGCCACCGGAATCCGCTCCACGTTGATCGGAAGAGCCTGAGGAAGATCATAGGGCACCGGTGGGCCTTTGTACTCCTTAGCAAACGAATACTGTAGACCCTCAACAGGATCCGAAACCATTGCCTCCAACAGAGGCATTTCTATCCCAAAATCTAAGGCCCTAACCCTAATTTCAACTCTAACCCTAATTTCAACTCTAACCCTAACACCAAGAAAAGCAAATAAAGCGGTAAAGTAAAGAGCATTTAACGAAACAACAACATCCTATATCACCAAGCAATTCAAAGAATCACTGTGAACCCTTGAAAAATCTCTCAAAGGTATATCCGAACCGAACCGAACCTTTAGCAATCTGTAATAAACCAAAAGGGATGCACAGGAAAGAAAAAATCAACCACAAGTAAGAACACAACAAGAGAAAAAGCACAGAGAGGACAAAGAATGAACAAACAAAACAACAACTCGCAATAAAGGATTTAAGAAACAAATAAATCAAAAAAAATGAGACAGAGAAAGAGAGAGAGAAGAAGAAGAAGAAGAAGAAGAAGAACCTGGAAAATCCAAATTCGGTGGGGATGAGAGAACGCACTGTTTGGGTGAGAGAAAAAAAGAAAAGAGAGCTTTTGGAGATGAGAGAGAGAAAGTGAGGGGAAGGAATAACCAGCAGTTTGGATGTTGGAGGCGGAATCTTTTCTGCAGTAATATAATAAAATAAATAATATTATGCTTATATATTTATTTAAATAATAAACTACATCTTAAACTTTATTTTTGGTTTTCAATCCAAATATTTATTTCAATTTATTTTTAACTTTAAAACAATTGTTTTAACTATTGCATATTCATGCCCACTACCACACATTTACATCATAATTTATGTCGGGTTCTTAAATTATGCTCCAATAAATTGCTATATATTAGAAAACTTAAGATAAGATTAAAACATTTTTTTCAAAGTCGAACACCAATATATGTATCTAAATAGAATTTGTAGCTAAAATTAAAACAAAACACAAATTCTTTACAACTATTTTTTTAGTCTTCAAAATTTAATTTATTTTTAGAAACATATATAAAATACATACAATTAATTTAAAACAAAAATATGATTATATATAAGTTTAAAAATTTAAAATTTTGTTTTTTACGCGTATCGGGTTTTGGGTTGGTGGAAGAAAGGCGAAAGGGGGAGAGAGGGCCCAGTCTAAAGGGTGGAGGGGCCCAGTTGGTCCAACAGTACTTTTGTCTTTTAACCTCCAAATTGGCCACGTCTTTTTCATTTTCTTCTTTTTCTTTTTTTAATTATTTAATTATTATTTCACTCCCTTGGATTCTCTCTCCACGGGTATGTTGTCGCATTTTTAAATTTAGATCACGCATTTCAAACGCAATAAATTATCATATTTTTCTATTCCCAATTTCGGTCCTTTTTTTAGTGTTAACTAAATTATAATACATCAATATAATCTTACACTAAAAACTTCACCTTCATAACTCCAATAAATAAACTATACAATTATGATTTATTCAACTATATATTATGCCTCATTATTTTTCATTATTATAATAAAAACTTGAATTATAAACACTCTTTTACACATTTTGCTATTAAATGCTTTTTTTAAAAAAATTTAAATTTGAACGATAAAGTTACCAATAGTCTTACATGGTCTCCTTCTTTTAACATCCAAGTGGACCACTTGCCCAGCAACTCATGAACTCATTGTGATTCAATAACAGCCTATCAATTAAAAAAAAAAAAAAACAAATAAACAAATAATAGCCTCTCAATTATTGGATTAATTTTAACCATCCAAACCTTAGGACAATTGAAGATATAAACATTTAGGCATGTCCATTATTGTTTGAATAGTTGTGTCTTGTTTCTAGATATGGTTAACCTAAGATGAATAAGTTAACTAGATTCTGAAATTGTGATACCTCTTCTCGTTTTTATAACATAAATCTGTTGAAGATTATTGGAAGTGGGTCCAACGTTGGTTATTTAGAAGAAGATCGTGGGATTATAAGTGAAGAATACTATCTCTATGGGAGGACTTTTGGGAAGCCCAAAGCAAAGCCACGAGAATTTATGCTCAAAGTGGACAATATCATACCATTGTGAAGATGTAGTCAAAAGTGACTGAAGTGTCGAACAAATGGTGTATTTTGTTCGAGGGCTTCAGAGAAAGGAGTCAAGCCTTGATTAAGGGGAGACTTATAGTATACTTGATTCGAGGGACTCCTAACAAAACCAATATGATATGATGCCTTCATTGTTCAATAAATAAAGACATACTATGGTGTAAGTCAAAGCCTATCGAATAATATATAACGGGCAATTAAGACACAAAATAAAGTTCGGTAGTTAGCTTTAACGACAAAAAATGACACAAAAGGTGTCGAATGTTGATTGGTCTAAATCATAAAGTTTAATTAACATTAAGATAGTTCAATTGAGCAGGAAACTTAGTGCACCTAAGACTTCATATAATGTTGTGGCATTTGATACTTTAACTTGAAGGTTTGAGCTCTATTTGGTTGCTGAGAAAGTTGGTGTAATAACTGGAAAGATCAGAGAAAATGAACATATCTACGTGAAGAAACCGTACCTATATGAGTTGTTTTCAAATTGGTAATTTCTCGGTTCGAGGCTTTTTCCCTACGTGATTTTGTAACGACTTCGATGAGCAGATTGAGTTTTTCTTGAAAATGTTTGAATCCAAGGAAGTTCTTATGGTAGCCATTGTAATAAACCATAAAAAGCATGGAGCAATAAGACAATCAATTTTGAAGCACCTTAATCTTCAGTTCTTAAATTTTCTGCTATATTAGCAACATAACAGCAGAGTTTTGATTCCAAGGCTAAAGAACTAACCAGACCCTCCATGGATTTCAGCTCCTCCTGAAAATCTGGAAGCAATACCAACGAAGAGAAGTTCTGGTCCAGCATTAGTCCTACATATCTGACCACATCATCAAGTTTGGGAACCCAATCACAAGCCTTCAAACCCAACACAGTAACTGCGTGAGGAAATCTCTCATATTTCTTTAACCATTTTCCCAGATACCGAATCAAACTAATCATCTCTTCATGATTCAGCTTACTGAGAGCAGAAGAAAGAATGGATTCATCAACATTAGGTGATGCCAACAGATAATGCAAACACAGTTCTTGAGCTGAGAATTCATCATGTGCTATCATGAACAGAATTGCAGCCTCCTTTGCCTTCTCAATGGCTACCAATGCTTGGCCCTCCCATTCCTTTCTCACGTCAGCTATACTCGCATCAGCCTTCTTGGAAGGGCAAAGAAAGTACTTCAAAAGGCAATGTAAATCAGCAGGACCAAAATCAAATGCTTGTTGGATACAAAGACAAAAGTAAATCCGACCTCTTCTTCCCCACCAGCTTCACAATCAAATTTGAATAAGATGAGTGTTTAACAAGCCTATTCACAACAAAAGTCTCTACCAATTCCCAGTCCTCGAACGCAATACATGTATCTAAAACCACCTCTCCAATGTCTTTACTCATCAGGAACCCGAGTTTCTCAATCAGAACCTTAGTGTAACAATTGTCGGATGAACTAACACCAACTGCAATTCCAATCCTTTCCCTCATTTTTTCAAGAAACGCATTCAAAATGTTTATAAACTCAGGCTTTGAGAAGTTTCTGTTTTTGAGCTTCTGCCTGAGATTTTCATGGAACTTTTTCCCCAGCTCTATCACCTTAAAATCGGTTTACGATATTTGCCATCCAACAATGGGATTGACAAGACTAAGACGATCTGGTTCATCAACTTTGGATTTCAAACTGATTAGAATATCGTCTGGATTGAGGAGAATGGGGTAGTCAGATTGGGAAACAAGCGGTTTGGATAAGGCGGAGGATTGCTTAATGACTTCAAGTAAAGTCATAGCGAAATTTCAAAGCAAACCAAGTTGTAATCTAGTTAAGTGATTATGTCTAAATTCTCTGTATGATCAAACACGATTCTGCATTCTAATTCCTAAAATATTTGACAATGCTATAGCTCATTCAATTCAATTCAAATTAAAATTGACCTGATTTCAAATCGATCCTACTTTGATGTTGATTGAACTGAATAGATAAAAGAATGACTACGAAAAAGATCGTAACAGACCTGAAGTATGAGCGGCTGCGGCAAGGAAGTGGCGGTGTGCGGCTGCCGCGAGAATGGGAGAAAGGTGATATCAGAGGAGAAAGAGATGATAGCGAATGGATTGGGGAAAGAAGGAACGTAGGGCTTTACGAGGGTTTATGTTTTATTATTATTTTTATTTATATTAGAGTTAAATTTTGGTTGAAATTAAAGAGTAAAAATTGATTTTTTAAAGGATATAATAAAATATGGGAAAATAAGATTATAGTTGTAAATTAATTATTTTTCTTTTCATTATTTTGTAGACCAAACCAGAAACTTTATTTCTTTATAATCTGAAAATCCATTAAAATTTATTTCTTCCAAACCAAATAACTAATTTTAAATTTTTTTTCGTATCTAAAACCCTATAATAAAAATACGGAAATCAAATAAAAAAACCAATATAATTCAAATCCAAAAAAAAAAAAAAACACACACAGTTAGAAGCTTCTCATGTTCGTAATGGGCTGGACCGTAAGCCCATTACCTGTCTCTCATAAGCCTTCTCTTGACGTAAGCTACATTGTAACGTTGACTATCAGGTTAGTCAATTGCCAGCATTGTTTCTGTGATCAATCTATTGGTGAAAATAAAATAGTTTCATGAATATCTGAAATTCATTTATTTTATAACTTATGTCAATATTTGAGGAGTCGTCCGGTCAATAATTTTGGCTATGGGGGCAGTTCTGTCAAATCACACTTTCCACTTCCCAGAAACGGCGGAAGACTTCCCCCACAGCCCTCTTCCAACTTTCATTTTCAGTGCAAATTTACACTCCTGCCCTTTTTTTCTTAACGTTCTCTAATTTTCCCTTTAAAAAATAATTTTTTAAATTAGATTTCTTTCTTTGGAATTAAGTTAAATAGTTAATTTCTCCTTTAAAAAGAAATTTCTTAAAACTTCTTCTAAAAAACAAAATAACTACTTTTTCCTAATTTTTCAGGAATTTTTAGCCTCGTGAGTTCTAGTAGAGAAAAAGATTATCTTACTTTTGATAAACAAAAAAGAAGAGGAAAAAGAATAATTAAAGGTGATTTTTAAAGTAATTTTAAAAAGTACGTATAAAGTTAAAAGTATACTTGCATTACTTAGTATAAAGTTGTCGAATTAGCTTTATGTTTTGATCGGAACTTTAATTTTATTTTTTCTTTATTTAGTGTAAAAAAAATAATGTTCGAAAAAAAATATATAAATATTTGATATTTAAATTTCATGAGATCTTAATTATTAATTTAACCTATATAATAAATAATTAGTTTTTTTTTTAAATATAAATTAAAAAGAAAAAGAAAAAAAAAGGGATGAATATCAAAGATGGCGGGGGCAGGATGCCGTCCACTTATGTCCCTTGCTGCCCTTTTTGGTCAATTTCTTTTTATAATCCTTTTCCCGTTGACCTTCTTGTTTCATTTCCCCATCCAGCGGGGCATTTTCGTCCACTTGCCTTTTCCCACCCAAAATCCTTCGCTTTCATTTCATCCACTTAATTTCCCACTTTCATTCATTTCTTTGAACCCAAGAGTAGGGTTAAAATTGGAATTTCAAACTTTTTAATTATTAATACAGTAATCTAACTCACTTAATTTAATGATACTTTCTAAATTTCATATAACTATTTTGCATTTAAATGCCAACAAAAGAAGAAAAAGAAATGATGTAATAGGAAAATAAATTAATAACAAAAAAAAATGTTCAAAATATCAAGGCTATTTTCGTAATTCTGTTTCAGTTGTGCAGAGTATTAAAATGACGCGAAGGGTACGTTGGTCATATCATTTATACATAAATAAAATTAAAATAATAAAAACCGTCGTGAGTACGTTAAAAAGAAGAAGAGGAGGAAGGAGCTCCTCTGAATTTCACGGTTCGTTCTCTCTTATCCTCAGCTTTCCATCAAAATCAGCAAGATTTCCGATTCCAATCGCTCTTGAGAAAAATTTTCTTCCATTTTAATCTAATCTGTTAATTTGCGACCGTGTCGAATTCTTCTTTCACCAGCTTCCATGTGTGATCGACTGAGCATTTACTGCCATTGAAGAGCGATTTCAGAGGTAGAGATTTCAATTCATGAATATAATGACCGTAGAAACTGTTCGTTCTTTTTCGTTTTCGATATTTGCTTCCATCTGAGAGCATTTATTAGGATGGATGTTTGGCCTTCCAACGGCATCGCAGTCCTGCTTTAAATTCTTTCGGAGTTCTGAAATTTTTAGGTTATTTGCGAACTCGTCGTAAGAAATCGATTTGAGGAGATATTTCTCTGTTTTTCTTTTCATGAATTTGTATAGTTTATGTTCGAATATTTCCGATCCTTTCCCGTCCGAGACTACGAATTTGATTCTGTTTTGGCTTGGCTTGGATTTAAAGATAAATCTTCTTTTGCAGGGAGGTGATGATTCTGTTTGTTTCTTGTTCAGTTGGAGTAAGTTGGAGTCAACTATGATTTTGCACCGATACTTTGTTATCGTTATAATCGCAATTCTTTCGGATTCTTTAACAATCGCCGAGGAGTTAACGCCCTGCGAAACCGGGAATTGGGCGGAATTTGTACACCATCCGTTTGGATTCTCAAACAAAAGCGAAATCAAATTGAATTGCAGCGAAAATGGCGAGATTCAAATCGGAAGATTCCAGGTCCAGAACATTACTGAAAGGAGCATCCTCATCAAACTTCCTTCAGAATGCAATATCTCTATCGATTCAATTTTAGAACTGTTCGGCAAAAACTACAGGCCCACTCTCCGCAACAGTCTCCTCTTGAATTGTACTGAACGACCTATTCCATGCGGAATAATAGCCAATTTGGACCAGAATCAGCCGCAGAACTGCGGCTTTAATGGCAATAATTTGAGCTGCTTCACCGAGCCCAAGCAAAATGGATTTATGCCGGCTTTGGATAAGTGTCAGTCCCTTTTGTACTCTGTCTTCGTTAATTCTTCATCAGAATCGACCTCCGAGATCGAGTTCGGGGTCATTGAGTTAGAGTGGTGGCTCTCACCCTTGGCTTCCGGAGGATGCGCAAAAAACGCCAATCCCACGGACATTACCAACCCGACGGGCCTCCTAGGATTTCGTTGCCAATGCACGAAAGGATATGAAGGAAATGCTTACGCCGGCGTCGGCCACGGCTGCCGGAAAGGTAAGTCGTTGAGACAACTCTATTTATTTTATTAAAAAAAGACATTAAAAATATAAGATATTTGAACATTCAACGCATTGGGTTCCTGATTATTTCTAATTTTTTAGTTGGTAGTCTAATATACCCATCCCCAGGGGTAAACTGGGAAAAACGGTATATGCCAACCAATTATAAATCGTCACCTAGCCAACGCTGGCAAAAACAGTAGTCGACTTTCTTAAATATAAAAACTTCAAGAATTTAATTGCTATAATTTTAAATATGATAATTAATTTCTATGATAAAAGAGATATCTATGAACTATTTATAGGTTTTTATCATATTATAGTGAAGAAATTTTCTCTTATTGATCAAATTTGCAATTTAATAATTTTTTATATTATACCCAAATAGTTAGAAAGAATAATTAAGGGCTGCTTTTCTTTTTCCTTTGAATCAGATTTCTTTTTATATTCCCTTTTAAATATATATTTTCCTTTTGAGACGCCTTTAAAATAGTGTTAGTGAATGGGAAAGTCAATTCTGACGTTTCTGAAATTTTGGGTTATTGGTGGGTAGAGATGAATATGATTTTAGTGTGAAAACAGAATGCCATGTGCCCATAATAGTATTAAAGGGAGGGAGAATTGTGATGCCAACAATGTTAAATTTTTCTAATGATCTGAATGATCAGCAGAATTGGTCAAACAAAGCGTGGTCAATGGATTTTTGATGTATGTTTGCTTATTTTGTTGATTTGTTTTGCTGGGTGCTTTGGCATTTGGTACAGTTTCGCACAAGTGTAATCCTAAAACATTCATTACTGGCCGCTGTAGCGGAGGCAGATTCACTTTTTTGATTGCAGGTAAACCATATCATACTATTGTGATGGTCGTGATTACTAACGTATAGTTCTAACAAAGTTCAATCTCAGGGATTTTTGTTGGAGCTTTTCTAATGGCTGTCCTCACCCTTATCTGTTATTGCATCCGACGCCGCTCAATGTGTCTGAAAGGTCAGATGAGTGCGAAGCGGCTTCTAAGTGAGGCTGCTGGAAATTCCAGTGTAACTTTATATCCCTACAAGGAAATAGAAAGAGCCACTAATGGCTTCTCTGAGAAACAAAGGCTGGGAACTGGAGCCTTTGGTACAGTCTATGCAGGGAGGCTTCATGAGGACGAGTGGGTTGCTGTGAAGAAGATCAAGTATAGAGACCACAATAGCATTGATCAGGTCATGAATGAGATAAAACTACTCTCCTCGGTAAGCCACCCAAATCTAGTCCGCTTGCTTGGCTGCTGCATTGAAGAAGGCCAACAGATCCTTGTCTATGAGTTTATGCCCAATGGAACTCTCTCCCAACATCTCCAGAGAGAGCGTGGAAATGGCCTTCGATGGACGACAAGGCTCACCATTGCAGCTGAAACTTCCAATGCAATAGCATACCTACATTCTGCTGTGCATCCACCAATATATCACAGAGATATCAAGTCAAGCAATATACTTTTGGATCATGGATTCAAATCAAAAGTTGCAGATTTTGGTCTTTCTAGACTTGGTATGACAGAAATATCACACGTCTCAACCGCTCCACAAGGGACTCCGGGCTATGTTGATCCACAATACCATCAAAATTTCTATCTTTCGGATAAAAGTGACGTTTATAGTTTTGGAGTAGTGCTAGTAGAGATAATAACAGCATTGAAAGTGGTTGATTTCACCCGTCCCCAGAGTGAAGTAAACCTAGCAGCACTTGCCATTGATAGGATTGGGAGAGGTGCTGTGGATGAACTAATTGATCCTTTCCTCGAGCCACATAGAGATGCTTGGACCCTCTACTCTATTCACAAGGTGGCTGAGCTTGCATTCAGATGCCTTGCTTTTCATAGCGACATGAGGCCTTCAATGACAGAAGTAGCAGAGGAACTGGAATCCATCAGACGCAACGGGTGGACATCAATGGAGGAAAATCTTTGTGCAGCATCATCAGCAGGGTCGGCTTGCTCATCTCCTCGTAGTATAAGCGATAGATCTATAAGTAGCATTACAATTAAGAAGGCCGGGCTGCTTGCAGGACTGGGGAGCCAGAGATTGATAATCCCACCAGAGAACAATCATCAAAAGGACCATCTGCCTCCTGTAGAGGAGGTTACGGATAGTTCCCCAGTTTCCATACAAGATCCTTGGTTAAGTGAACAAAGCTCACCTTCAACAAATAGTTTATTGGGTAATGTAGTACGGTGAAAATAGAGGAAAAAGAAGGGGAAGCTCTTTTGTAGGACATTTAATGTCTTACACTTCACCATGATTTGTATATCCAATGGAAAACATTTAATGTTTCAAGCAGATATTGCTTTGGAAGTCGGCCAACTACAATAACCCTCTTCATTCTCTTCTTTGTCCAAACTCATCAACCCCGTGCTCCCACTTCGTATTATCGAAAACAAGTAATTGAACAAGATTATAGCTTCTAGTGTTGATCTACTTCGTATTATCGAAAACAAGTAATTGAACAAGATTATAGCTTCTAGTGTTGATCTACTTTGTATACTACTGTAGCCAATTGCCTACAAACTTCTCACCAATCTGCGTAGAACTCCACAACAGTGGGCTTCCCATTTAACAGAGCCTAAATCATAAGTCGTCAAAGGATGAACAGTGAACAAATTCCAGATAGTAAAACATTATGAATCTTCTATTTCCTGACGTATACTTCTACCTCGTCCATTGAAGGCCACACCCAATGGACTTCTGTTCTAAGCAATGTTAAATGAACACGACCCTCCACAATAGTGTGATATCTCCACAATGGTGTGATATTGTCCACTTTGAACTTCCCCAAAAGGCCTCACACCAATAGAGATAGTATTCTTTGATTATAAACCATTATTCCCTAAATTAGCCAAGTGGGACTTTCATCAAACCCCTCCCCTCAAACAAAGTATGCCTCCTCTTAATCAAACTCCTTTTTCTTTTGGAGTCTTAATCATTTTTTACTATGTAGGCGGGAGGTCCTTTTTCTTTTGGAATCATTTGTTCGACATTTGAGGATTCTATCGACTTGTCTAAGTTTAGGGCATGGCTATGATACCATGTTAGATGAACATGTCCTTTTTCTTTTGGAGTCCTTTGTTCGATATTTAAGGATTCTATCGACATGTCTAAGTTTAGGGCATGGCTCTAATGCCATGTTAGATGGACAATATCATACCATTATGGAAGCCCTCCACAATGGTATGATATTGTCCACTTTGAGCCTAAGTTTTCATGGCTTTGCTTTGGGCTTCTCCAAAAGACCTCACACCAATCGAGATAGTATTCTTTAATTATAAACTCATGATCATTTCTTAAATTAGCCGGGGAATTAGCCGTACGTGTGACTTTCATCCAACGAGTCCTAAAAACAAAAAATGCCCTAGCCTGGAAGAATGTGCAAAAATGAGATGGGTTTGAAGCAGAGGACTCACTTGAATGCAATAATGTGGTAGAGTTGTGGATCAAGCAAAGCAGCAAGAGTTGTGGAGAGAGGTTCTTGGGAGGCATGTGATAAGCAGCAACCACCAAGGCATATATGTGTGCCAACACCCAACACCTACAGCCTTGACTTTATGCCCCCATCTATCACACAGACAACATCAGTAGATCCAAAATTTTGCCTCAAACATACTCTCTCCCATTATTTAACCTCCTCTAAAAACTACTAAAATGCATGTTTCTAGTATAAATCATTTTTTTTATATACTTTCACAGTCTTGTCATATCTTAAGCCCTACTTTTGTTATAGAATTCAAGAGAAAGTGGTACTCAATGGAACGATTAGCCTTTCAAAGTCAAAATACACTTTTGGAGACGTGCTTGCTGAAAATGCTTCAAATATGAATAAGATATAAACAAACAAACAAATAAACTAACCAAATAATCTGTAAGCTCAGTTCTTGGGCAATGTGCCCCATAACGTACCTGCATTTTCTGGGGTTTTGTGCCCATTTGGACGCTTTCCCATCTTCATTTCAAGTGCTTCCCCCACTACAAAAAGTAATTAGATCAAAGACTTGGGGAACACACGGTGATGGACATGCCTAGGAAGACCTGATAGATGTAACCAAATATATATCATGACAAATTCTTTTTGGCATCACATTTGTCTTCCTTCCCTTCTTACAAACCCAATTGTTTTTGCTATCCAAACCAAAAACCATGTGATTTTCAATAATTACTGATTCCCTAAACCTTAAATCTGCAATCTTCTTTACACATTTTTAATTCAATCAAGATTTTCCACCCAAAAAAAGGGGAAATAATTAACGAGAAGATTCACTTTTTGAAGTGGGGTTTGTCTGTCAAGCAAATAATCTCCTTTTGAATTGTATTAAAGTTTAAATCATTGTATAAATTATATATTTCACATGAGTTCTAATATTTATGATTAACATGTATGCTTAATCAACTGAGTAACAAATGGCCTATGCCTTTCTTGTCATCTCACTAAGATGGGCATCACTGCACATACAAACAGAAGTCCAACAGTTAGTACATTTAATTTAGGTTGAACATATGTTTTAGTGGGGAGGTTTCAATATTTTCTTTTTCAATTTAATCCTTACTAATTAAAGATTTCCAATTCAGTATTTATTATTATTTTTTTTATGTCTTCATATTTATAATTTAGTCCCACAATGGAGATGAATATTAAAAAAAAAATTATGAAATATGGAAACCCTATAGCATAGTCTCAGTCTCATCTTGTGGAGGCTAACATTATGAGTTCCCTCTTGCTGAGGACACATTGCCACTTGGGGCATTCATAATAAGACATGTCCCTAAGTTTCTAACGAACTGTTCTTTTAGTTAGTATAATATTTTTAACCCCAACTGAAAAGGGTAAATTTAACTTTTAAGTTAGATATAAAATTAGAAAAAAATACCCTCAATTTTGTTAATAACTAATGAAATACTAATGTTAATTTTTTTTAATTAAAAACATAAAAAATAATTTTCTTTTCTTTTTCTCTCTATTCTCCTCGTCTTCTCTCTTCTTCCAGTTGGATGTCCCACATCGCGTAATTTAGGGAATGATCATAAGTTTATAATCAAGGAATACTCACCCATTGATATGAGGATTTTTGGAAAGCTCAAAGCATGGGTTATAATCAAGGAATATTCTCTCTATTGGTATGAGGCCTCTTGGGAGGAAGCTCAAAGCCATGAGAGCTTATGCTCATCTAACCCTTCCAACAGACCCATGGGAGGAGGGAGAAAATATATATTTTTTTTAAAAATTAAATTAAAAAATAAATGTCACGGCTCCTTTAATAATTAACAGAAATTTAATCTCAATAAGGTTTACTCATTAGGTTTAATTTAAAATGTTTACTTTAGAAAAAGTTAGTGTATTTCTTTTTTCATTTAATTTAGAACTTTTTTTTCTTCTTCTTTAATCTATATGATCTTGTACTTGAATTTGTACTAATTATTAGAATAGAAATTAGGGTGTAGCAGTAGCGAAGAAAAATGTGGAATTATTAGTAAGGCTACGTTTTCCATTCTTTGACGATGAAGAAAGGAATTTGAATCAATCAACTAAAGTGGAAGGGTGAAAGAGATTCTGACCTGATTCGTAGATCAACAGCAACCGAAGAATTAGAAATTTTGTTGAAAGTTGAAACCCCATCGCAGTGCCATTCGCCTTTTGATTTGATGAAGCTTACTTTGTCAGATTTATTCTTCCGAAGAAACGAAATCGCAACCAAACAAATTCTCTCCCCATCGTTCTCATTGTTTTCTTTTTATCTGTTCTTCTGTCCCAAGTCTAATCCGTTTCACCCAACCAAAATTACTCCTGAAAAGGATCTCAATTCTTTGTTCTTTCCCTGTGTTTGTTTTCATTTCCTAAGACCCAACCCATAATTTCTGTGCCTTCGACCTTCTCTGGTTTGTTGAAGAAATGGAGATGGTTTTCTAGTTTCAGGGTCTGATTGTCGGAGGTTGTATGCAGAGTTTTTCCTGAGAAAATGGCTACAGAATCGCAAGCAGTTGCAGGGAAGCCCAGCGCTAAAAGACAAGCATGGTGAGTTCTTATGTTCTTCCCATTTTTAGAGACCTTCGGTTGGAACTCCCATGGTAATAGTGCTGATTGGAACGATTTCTTTGAGTTTTTGTTTTACAGGTTCTGCACTAATGGTTTGCCGAGTGACATTGTCATTGAAGTGGACGATATGGCTTTCCATCTCCATAAGGTCGCCTCCTTAATCTCCTTGCGAAATTTCCGTCTCTTTCTTCGTTAATTTGGTTGTTTCAGACTGTTTCTCTTGAGTTCTGACCTCATTGTTTTGTAAATTTCCAGTTTCCTCTAATGTCGAAGAGCCGGAAACTAGATAATTTGATAACTCAGCGAGAAGAAAACTACGTTACTCCTACCAGAGAGAATCAAAATGAAATTACCGAATCGGAGGAACAGGAAGAAGATGAAGTTGAGGAAGAACACTGCCATATTGTGCTCTCTGATTTCCCCTGCAGCTCCGAGATCTTCGAGATGGCATCGAAGTTTTGCTACGGTGTGAAGATCGACCTCAATTCTTCCAATGTCGCTTCTCTCCGCTGCGCCGGAGAGTTTCTGGAAATGACAGAAGAGTACAGCGAAGATAATCTAATTTCGAAAACTGAGAGATTCCTCTCTCAGACTGTACTCAAAAGCAGCAAAGAGTCGATCAAAACGCTGAAATCTTGTGAACCTGTAATGCCTCTAGCCGAGACCTTAGGCATTACGCAGAGATGTATAGCTTCGATTGCTTCAAAAGCGCATTCATCCGATCCGGCTTTGTTCGGATGGCCAGTCAGGGACGAAGCCAATGACGCTCAAGATCATACGAAGCAGATGCTATGGAATGGAATCGAAACCGGAGGGCGAAAGAAAAGCGGTGGAAGGGGAAGTAATGGAGTCTCCTGGTTTGAAGATCTCGCGCAGCTGAGTCTACCTCTGTTTAAGCAGTTGATTTTCTCCATGAGAGATCAAGATGTAAGCTCGGAAATTATTGAGAGCTGTTTAATGAACTACGCAAAGAAATACATTCCAGGTATATCCAGGTCGAACCGGAAGCCATCCTTGCCTTCCTCCTCTTCGTCTAGTATGCTAACGGAGACTGAACAGAAGGAGTTGTTAGAGACCATAATCAGTAATCTTCCATTGGAGAAGAGCTCCAAAACTTCAACCGCAACAAGGTTCCACTTCGGATTACTGAGGACGGCCAATATATTGAACGCCTCGGAGGCTTGCAAAGCTGCTTTAGAGAAGAAAATAGGATCGCAACTCGAACAAGCTACTCTGGATGATCTTCTGATTCCAAGTTATTCGTATCTGAACGAGACCTTATATGACGTCGGTTGTGTGGAGAGAATCTTGTCCTGCTTCTTGGACGGATTCGTCGAGAGAAATGCAACGGAAGATAATCAAGCCGAAGATGACGGTCTCAGATCGCCAGCGTTAATGCTCGTCGGCAAATTAATAGATGGATATCTCGCCGAGATCGCGTCCGACTCAAATCTGAAGCTGGAAAAATTCTACAACCTGGCAATTTCTCTCCCCGAACAGGCTAGGCTCTTCGACGACGGTGTTTATCGAGCCGTCGACGTTTACCTCAAGGTTCGCAAGAAGCAACCTCACAATCCTAACTCAGCACTGATCTCAAAATCCTCTATCGGCCTTAGCTAATTAATTCTGTAACTTCTTTTGACAGGCGCATCCGTGGATCTCGGAAGCTGAACGCGATAAGATCTGCGGAGTAATAGACTGCCAAAAGCTGACATTAGAGGCATGCACCCACGCCGCTCAAAACGACCGACTTCCACTGCGAGCAGTAGTACAGGTCCTTTTCTTCGAACAGCTGCAGCTTCGTCACGCCATCGCCGGAACACTCATAGCCGCCGAGCCAGTTCCGGCGGAGACCGGAAGATTCTCAACCGTTTCCCGTCGCGAAACGGAGGAGATGCAACAGGGAGACGAAATGGAGGATGAAGTTCCGGCCGGAATAGCGCACGAGAGCGGCACGTGGAGAGAGACGGTGAGGGAGAATCAGATGCTTCGCTTAGACATGGATAGCATGAGGACGCGAGTACATCAACTTGAAAGAGAATGCTCGACGATGAAGAAACTAATCGATAAGATCGATAAACCGGAGGCAGAACCACAAGACGGCGGCCGGCGATGGCGAGGGTCGTTGATCAGGCGTTTTGGATGTAAGTTCAAAACTCAGGTATGTGATTCGCATGAATCGGCGGTTCTTGATGGCCGGAGAGGACGAAACCACCATCCTCAGCAGTAGAACCTCCTGCAGGTGATTATTCACCCCCCCCCCCCCC